TTGATCAACTCCCTAATGGATATAATAAGGTGACAGATGAAAATAAAATAAGAACAGTATTGACAGAGACCTTCGTCATTAAGTAAAAATCAGTTAGGCTCAAATTACTTTCTTTTATTAAAAAAGATCTTTGAGCGTCCGACATCCCACAACTAGAAGGACCTACAACTAAGATATACAACTGTGTACAGGGTGGGGGTTAGGGAGATAAAGCAGGAAAAAAAAAAAGATTGGCAATAGTTGTTAGCCTAGGTGCCAATCTTTAAAGATTTTATTTTTTTCCTTTTTCTCCCCAAAGCCCCCTGCTATAGTTGTATATTCTTCGTTGTGGGTCCTTCTAGTTGTGGCATGTGGGACGCTGCCTCAGCGTGGTTTGATGAGCAGTGCCATGTCTGCGCCCAGGATTCAAACCAACGAAACACTGGGCTGCCTGCAGCGGAGCGCATGAACTTAACCACTCGGCCACGGGGCCAGCCCCAATCTTTAAAAAAAAAAAAAAAATTTTCTTTGAGAAAGAGTCAAGTTTGGGGTAATAATCATATTATTGTAGTATTTGATGTGGTAAAAAATGTAATTTTGTGTATATTGCTAACACGGCATGTTTAAAGAAGAGTGCTGACATTTCATGGAAGTAGAATTTTGGCTGAATATTTAAATAAATCTCTTCACAACTGAGTGCTTCCTCTGCCAAAATCAGGTGAGAGGAGAAAAATAATTCAGATATATGGTGTTTGCATTAAAAAACAAATTGCCATTTTTATAATCATGGAAGGTTGTTATCTAATGTTATCTAATGCAGGAAATTTGTACTAAAAAGAGAGTCAGCAGTGGACCTTTAATTAAATTAAACATGAGCTGAATCGAAAGTTTGTGACATGAATGTTTAAGATTAATTTTACATACAGCTGGTTCCAACAAAATTTCAATTAAATCTTTTTTAATACTTCAGAATTAATGTACCAACTGATAAGAAAATATATTTAAAAATTAGTATGTCCATTCATTTAATACTCTATTTATTAAGCACAGATTTGTATAGAGCACTATGCAGACACTGAGGATACAGCAGTGCCTTTTTAAAAATTGCACAGGAGTGAAGAAGAATTCATGCCACAGAGGTATCTGACCAGAGTCGAGGGTCATGAGTGGTTGCCCTTAGCAAATGACATTTGAGCAAGATTTAAAAGAGTTAAATAAACAAAGGATCCTCCCAAAATGGAGCATTTCAGACAATTTATATGAAGGCAAGATGAAACATATGCATTAAAGAATATGAAAGAGGTATAATTACCTGGAATTCGAAGAATGAAATTGCACATTGGGAGGCAGGAGAGTGAAGAAGTGTAGAGATCATGTAGGACTAAACAGCTGTACTAATGATTTTGCTTTTAATCCTAACAGCAAGGATCAACCATGCAAGGTTTAAAGCAGAAAGCTGATGTGATCAGCTTTATGTTTTGAGATGATAGTTTGGTTTAGTTCTAGGAGTGAGAGTTAGAAAGGAAAAAAATTGACACAAGAGAACTATTCACTGTTGTGGTGAACTAGATAAAAGAAGGGGTTGTGGAGCTGTAAAAAGGGAATGAGTGAATTTGAAAATTATTTAAGAAGCAGATCCACCAGACGTGGTGACTGATTGGTGATAGAAAAGATAAAGGGGCAGAGGTGTCTGGTGTATATATAGCTGGATAAAGGCTGGAGTATCTGTAGAAATAGAGGCTGCTGGAGGAAGAAGATATGGGGGAGGGTAGGAGACTTTGAGTTCGTTTTGGCTATGTCAAATATTGTGTGTCTTTTAGACATCCAAGTTTACTTGTCGAATAGGTGCTGCGTACACATAAGTGTAACTTGTGGTACAGAACTGCTCTGGGAGTGATTGGTGAGTAGATAGAAACTGAAGGGATAGGTGTGGCTGAAAGGACCTAGAGAGAATTAAGTGAGAACAAATCGTGAATCCATTCTTGGTGATCTCAATATTTAAAGGCTAAATACAAGACAACCCAAGAGAATCTGAAAAAGAGTAACCAGAGATGTAAGAGTTGAATCAAAACCGTGTTTTTGAGAGTGTGGAGGTGATAGAAGAGAGGATGTTAAAGAAGCCCAGAAAGACAATTCTTGGGAACTGAAACTAATCAACATTTTGAGTAATTCTGAAGTCAAATAAAAGTTATAAAAAAGTATTGTGTTATATCCCTTGATTTTGGTAACTTAGAGATTATTTGATGATCTTGCTGAAAGTTTCATAGAAATACATGTTAAGCATATTATATGCTCTGGCATCGCTTATAATTGGAATTCTGTATTTTGGATCTAAAGGGAATGCTGAACTCTATGCTTCAGGGGCCACTTGTTACACAAATTCTTACCTCTGATAAGCTACTTAAACTAAACAGGCAGAGCTAAGAGAAATCAGCCCATATTCTGTTTTTCTCACTTCTAACAGCTACCTGCCACTATCTATTTTACCTTACTGAAGCAGATGCTGGTGGTGGCTTACTTGTATCACTTTTACACACACCATTCCTGTGCACCGAATAGACAGGAGTGCCAAGGAAGTAACACCCCCTTCCTCCAGAGCAATCTTCAACCACACGCTAATGAAAATTGGGAAATCTTCCCTAAATGCTCCTGTCCCTTGTCCGTCAAGTAAGATAACTCTGAGGATGGCCATCATTGTCCCTCTGAGTTCCACAACAGGAATGAACCTCAGTTGCCCGTGGTGTGATCTGTTTAATAACATACTCTTTATTTTCTTATTTCCCTTCCTTGCTCACTCCCCAGGGCTTTCTGAGGTGACCCCTCAGGGTCTGTTTGTTAGGATTCTGTATTAGTCAGGGTTCTTCAGAGAAAGAGAAACAATAGGATGGAGATATATACTTAATATTATAAGGAATAGGCTCACACAATTATGGAGGCTGGCAAGTCCCGAGATATGCAGGTTGAGTTGGCAAGCTAGAGACCCAGAAAAGCCAATGATTTAGTTCCAGTCTGAGTCCAAAGGCCTGAGAACTGCAACTGATGTCGTCCCAGTCTGAAGGCCAGCAGGCTCCAGACCCAGGAAGAGCAGATGTTTCAGTCTGAGTCCAAAGGCAGGAAAAAGGCCAACGTTCCAGCTCAAAGGCATCAGACAGGAAAAATTCTCTCCTGCTTGGGAGAGGGTCAGCCTTTTTGTTCTAGGCCCCCCCACATTACGTAGAGCAATCTGATTTATTCAGTCTACCAATTTAAATATAAATCTCATCCAAAAATGCTCTCACAGAAATACTTGGAATAATGTTTGGCCAAACGTAGGGGAATTCCATGATGAAGTGAAGTTGATACATAAAATTAAACTACACAGACACCCAAATTAACATAACTCTTTCCCCAAATCGCACTTTTGTGATCTTTCTTCTGCCCTGTTTTTCTCTGGAAATGAAGCTTTCTCTTATGTGTTGGGGGAAATTAAATTTCACTGTATGTATATATGGTCAAAGTTCAAAAGACCACAGACCTCAGTTTGCCCAGAATCATTCTAGTTCACACTTGTTATGCTGCGTAATTATTAATATTTCCCTTTCACTTTAAAAGATGTTCTACCTTGAAGACAAAATTATATGATCTTCCTAGTCAATACCTGTGATAATGATGATAGAAAAATTAGTGAAGTGTATTTAAATCTTTTATTAAATTATTTTCTTCTACTAGTTAAAAAGGTATGGTGAACATATCTCATATTTCTTCAAATTAATATTTCTTCCTAGGTTATTTTACACTGTGATTATTTTCCGTGATGTATATGGAATGCCTATTTGTAACCAGGGTATTATTGTTGATTATCTTGAATGTATTTTCTGTTTAAAAGATTAAGAAAGAATGCTTTTGAAAAGTATAAATAATTTATAAGTATGATAAAAGGTCTTTCACAGGACCATAGTTTTACGTATGACAAACCTGAATAATATTTTCCTGAAATAAGATGACTAACCTAAAAAGGACACAGTTGATTGATACTTATTTAATTGGCTTCATAGTCCGAGAGTGAGTATAACCACAAGGTAATTCAGTTCTCCCATCACAATTAAAGGAAGGGTGAAAACAATTGTGGCTGTCTGGAGAGTTCAGAGCCTATTTTGCTTATTGTTGAAGATGTGGTCTAAGAGGAGAAGGCAATTGCATGTTGGCTGTGGGCGACACAATGCCAGGACTAGAAAAGTGTCATAAATGAATGTGTGTTTACATTGTCTCTTTTCTTCAGCTTATTTTCCATTTCTTCTATGAAATATGTATCTTTGTGTTGATTAAAGAATATTACATGGCATAACCTTTATAAATAGTAATGTCTTAAAGTGTTCTTGAATGCTCTTCCATTGGGATGATTTTGTTGTTAAGTGCAAAGAAATAATTTTATAACAATTATGTTGTAGCGTATGTAACAAAATGTTAACTTTTAGTGATATTCTACAGAACTATTTCAGATGATTTGCTAACTGTACTTTAGTGCAAGCAGAATGTGCTAAGTGCAGCATTACTGCCGGTTCAAAAAGATTCTGCATAATGCTCGTGAGACAGTAGCTGATCTTGAGTTCTTTGTGGGTTCTTTATTATGAGTCTCTGATATTCCCACAACAATGAAAGTGTTGTTATTCAAATGCACATAAATGCATCCAGTCCATAATAATAGTATTCATAGCCATCTATAAATAGTTGAAGAAACAATTGTATGAAATGCTTGATATTCATCTGAACCACTTTTTGCAATTTCACTTTTAAATTCAGATTTCAGAAATAATACAAAAGTGGTGCTCATAAGATATTCAGATATTTTTGTTAGCTTTTCATGGACAGGATGGTGACTTCTTAAAATTACATACTCTATTTCACCAAATCTAAGAAACTTTTCATAAGTATGCACAATGAAAAGAAATAGTCTGCACATCCATCATGAGGCACAATTATTAAATATATAATTTTATGTGTTTAATGACCTTTCTTAATAATCCTTTTCCTTTTTTTTCTAGATACACCATCAGTTAAGATTATCCCATCCACTCCTTTTCCACAAGAAGGACAGCCTTTAATTTTGACTTGTGAATCCAAAGGAAAACCACTGTAAGTGATAAAATTTTTCACTTTTTCTTCTAGTATGCTTTGCTTGCAAGCCTTAGCTGCAGAAATCCACTTTTTTTGTCTATTTTTTTGGTGGCAAAGTGATCTCTAGAACAGAAACACCCAGAGCGATGTCTTCATTAAGCGTCTGTGGAAGATTGGTCTTTGACTTTGTCATCTGGGGAAGTTTCTGGGAGGTTTCTAGCTGTGATTTTTTTTTCTTCCTTTTTTTTTTTCCAGTAAGGTATTTCCACCTGAAAGGAGTGGAGGCTTAATCAGTCACTGTTTATATCGTCAGAGTGATAGAAATTACACACTGCTGAACTTAGTTCTCCCATGAAATACTTTGAAAATATTGAAGCATCCTCAAAATATGCCCAAGTTTAAAGCCACATGGGGAATCATGTTCATAATAAGGGAAATCAAGTCCACATTCCCTATGTAGCAGCATCCAAGGGACATGATTTGTGAATTTGACATGCTTGGAGGTGACGTGAATAAAAGGGGTCACAAGCATAGAGTTTTCAATTGTAAAGTGATTTCATTATTAGAATATATGAGTCTGGGGCCGGCCCCATGGCGGAGTGGTTAAGTTCTCGCTCTCTGCTTCAGCAGCCCAGGGTTTCGCTGGTTTGGATCCTGGGAGCGGAGATGGCACCGCTCATCAGGCCATGCTGAGGCAGCGTCCCACGTGCCGCAACTGGAAGGACCCACAACTAAAGTATACAGCTATGTACTGGGGGGCTTTGGGGAGAAGAAGAAGAAGAAAAAAGAAGATTTGCAACAGTTGTTAGCTCAGGTGCCAATCTTTAAGGAAAAAAAAATAGCTTGTATTAAAAAAAGAATATATGAGTTCTGATGTCACTTCACCTCTAAAATTATGCTTTTTGACACTCTTGTTTATAGAGAACTAACTCATAGAACATCTATTTTTAATACAAAATTCAAGTATGGGTTATTCAAATGTGGGTTATTCAAAAACTTTGAAAGCCATTTGAGCACTCTGATGCACAGTAACCCTGTAGGTCTAGTGTAAAGTAACATTTGATTCTTAAAAAGCTTCCTATGGATTTGCATTTCTCTTTATATTTTAATAGGGAAAATTTAATTGTTCTCTGTAAATAACTACGTGAGATAGCTTCTGTGCAAATCAAGTTAAATTACCAAAACTTTGTTTCTAATAATACGTGCTATTTAAGTGTAGATTTCGTATTTTCCCGCGAGGAATTTTTCTAAAAGAGTTTTAAGGGAGAAGGCTGTAATTTCAACTTCTTAAATTGTATGGTATATATTATACTTTTTAACATACTAAGTGAATTCACACTTTTTTTTATCACAGTTTTGATATTTTAAAACTGTTATCTCATCCAGTAATTATTTTCTAGAGATACAAAGATACTGATTTAAAAAGCATTTTGTGAATTAATCCATTATTTTTCTTCTATCTTTTAAGAAATATTCAAGGCATTTTAGACCTTGAAAAGACACATTTTTTCATAGTAGCTTTACTACATATATCCAGCACAATTCACGTTCCTAGTTCTTACCTTCTGATAAGCTTAAATTGCTTATAGAAAACAGTTTTCCACTGCAGTGTGCTATCTAAACGTGACAGTGCATTTTAGCGTTAAAGCTTCAACAACAGCTTTTGGCTGCAAGTTCAGTACTTCAACCAGGGAAAGAAATGTAATAGACTCTAGTCGGCTTTAGATATACTTAAATCCTCATTTCCTTACTCCTGATTTTATGTATCTAACACCAGAAACTTTTCATCTGTTTTCCTTCCATCTTCACTCCTGTTCCTTTCACTTATTTTCCAACTCTGTGTGTTCATCATCTTTCTCTCTTTTTGCTCTGTTTGTTTCTGATCTTCCTTATAACCTGAGGGGTCAGCATATGGGGACAGGAAGGAACGTGACCAGGATCAGGGCACAGCAAATGTTTTTGCTTTTACCTTCTCTACATTGATCTGCCCCAAATCACATATGTGTACATTTGGAATGTGTGTACAACTCATGTAATTAAATGGGGTGAAGATGGGCGATGTATACACAGAATGTTTGGAAATAAATACATCCCTGCTCAAAGAGCATCTAATTCCCTGTCAGTGATCTCCTCTTTGACTCCACATGCACTCCAAATGGTAGAAACGGCATTTTATTTATGTGAATAATTAGATTGTGAGTTATGTAAGTTGTGCATTTCCCTCGGCTCAGATTGGTTGAATAGGTGGGCCTTGTTGTGGGCCTCTGTTTCAGCTACCTGGAAATGGCTTGGGGATGTAATCCTCTTCTGCATTGCACATGAATGAAAAGTACAATAATCTCTTATTTATTTATTTTGTTTAAGAATATAAAGGTTCTGGAAGTTTATATAATAGAAAATGTCACCTTTCTTGGAAAGATCCTGATTCATATCACTTTGCAAATAGAGAAAGGAAATAAGAAAGTCTTCTTATTTTACAGAAGAGAAAACTAAAGAAAGCTCAATGATGTCAACCAAATTTTCCTGATTCATTCACATTTAAAATAGATAAGTCAGGATTTAAACTCAGTTCAATTGTTGCCCAAATCTTACATTCTTTCAGCTATTTTCTGCTACTTACATTGCTGAGTCAAAATTGTCACCTCTGTTAGCCAAAGTAACTTTTGAAAAACTAGCATGGGCCCCCCAATAACCCCCAGCGCTAAAGTTGAACCCCTGCCTACTTTAAGGTGAAGAACTGGCTAGCCTCAAGACGTATTTTACTGCTGCCATCCTCCTTTATCAGGCTTTCTTCTATATTTATGCTCTCTCTGGAAACCTGCCAAATTTCCATCAAATAACCATTTCTATCATGAGTTTATAGCCATATAAAAATCTCTAATTAGTATAGTATCTTCTGGCAATTATTTCCTAAGCTCCATAAGGGTTAAAATGGTCATTATAGTCTGTCTTTATCCTTATAGTTCCCTATGTTAGAATCTATATGCTATGGTCCACAAATCAATGTGTATCAACTTATTCCCTTGTATTGTATCCTCATTCCCAACTTCCCTTTTACCATTTTCTTTCTTTGTAGACTATCAGGCCATTGACATTAAGCATATAGCCAACTTCTCTGATTCCATCCTGCCTTTAGATTACTGCTTTTCTTAGGTCCTTTCTAATCATCTTACAATCTACTTTTCTACATTTTCAAAGTAACTATCATTTCCAATAAATGAAAGCATTAACCTCTTTAAAGACAGCCTAATTTCTAGCCTCTCTTTAGTTTATATCTCCAACAGTGCCAGATGAGGCACACAGGACAAGAAACAAGGGAAGACTAAAAAGAAATCACTGGATTTGCCCAGAAGGAAATGTTACTGATCATAAAGAAAACAGTTTCACTAGAGGAAAGAGAAGAGAAGGCAAATTGAAATGGATTACTCAGGGAGTCAGTAGGTGGTGGGGAAGTAAAGATAATGGAGAGATCAACCATTTCATAAAATGAATCATGAAAAGTGGAAGAGAGATGAGAAAAGAAATTATGCTGAATGGAAGTTTTAAAATTATAAATAATAGAGACTGCCCGTATTTTAAGATAGAATCAAAAGAGCCTGTAAAGAGTGGGAGTGAAAACGAGGTGTGCGCTATCACATATACCCAATGGGCAGGTTCAACTTTCCTATTTTACTGTCAAAGTTCCATCCATGACTTTGCAGCTATTTTACTTGACTCTCTAGCTTACTTTGGAACCACTGAGAAGCACCACTGTGGCTTAGCTTCCGACTGGCTCTTGAAACACTTAATTTCTATTGTCTTTGCCATTTACCTGATCCGCCTTTAAGAAGCAGGTAGGAATCAGAAATGGATGAGAGATATATGATTCTTTTACATCTGTAGCTGACTTAAGTAATATCTTTAGTCCATGACCAAATCTTTATTGTTTCTTAAAAATTGTTTGACCAATTCATGATTTCCTGAAGAAAGAGTTATTTGTGGTTATTAGGCATATTGACGGAAAACAAAATAACACCACTATCTTTTGTACAAATCGCAAAATGATGGTGTGGCTCAACTCATCCTGAGAATCATGTTGCTAACCTGGGCTCCTGTGTGCTAATGTTGTTTTCCTTGTTCTAAATGTGAGGGCCCCAGTGACTGTTTATGAACAATCAGGGCTTATTTGCCTGCTTTGGACTGAAGGCTTTTGCTATTTTCCTGTGGAACAGCTGCATAACTTGGGCCAGGACCAAATTGTTCCACTTGACATTACTATAGAGGCATTCTGTTCTTTCCTTAAAAGAGAGATTACTGTACATGTCTGTCTATTGTTTTAATTTTAGTTTAAAGGGGGGACGGAGCTAATGCCAACCACTTTTCTTTCAAGTCCCCAGGGTTTTTGCAGCCTTCTTCTTTCTTTGGCTGAATTCCCAGACAGCTTTCAGGCAGCAGAATTCTCAATTTATAGAAATAGAAAGGGGGAAAAAAGCCGTTATATTACATTAAAGTCATGACCTTAAAAGATGTGGTGTCGCCCCCCACATGCACTAACTAAAGAATTATCATTCATTTTAATCAAATGTTTAACACTTTGTCAATTTACTTCAGAAAATAAATGGGACATTTCAGTCAAATAAATATGTATTTGGCATTTATTCTGTAAAAGAAAATAGTTATAGGTATTGATAAATTTTTCTGTGTATCCAGCATGATGTTTATGTTGTACTTAATTTTACCTACTGGTAACCACGAGTTTTCTTATGCTCTTGGCATAAATCTAGTATACATAATTGCATAGCACATAACATCCCTATTCTGTACAAGAAGAAAGATTTTAATCCTTAGAAAGACAGATCACATCCTGTATAACAGCTAGTGAGGTGTTTTACAGGAACAGTTACACATCCGTTGTTGAAATGATCAAGAATTTAAGAAGAAATTTGATAAAAATGTATTGATGCATTTTCCTACTAGCATAATAGACATTTAAAAAATCAGGTGCAAAATACTTTTTAAGGGAAAACAGTTTTATATCA